TTTCTAATTGGAAATTTGCATATCAGCATTTTCAGAGCGTGTTAACTCTTTGCGTTTATAATTCAAAGTTTTCCCTTGTCTTTTTGAAAATATGAATATAAGCTATAAAACAAAATCTCCAAAAAAACTTTTTACAAAATGCCGTTTTCAGTACTTCTTTTAGTGATTATTCCCGCTGTGGTCTGGTGTCCAACTCTAGCGCGACGAACCAACAACTTTAGAAGTCTGGCTGTAGCTTTTTATTATAAATGAAGTTCATTTATTCACTTTACTTAAGCTTAGTTGAAATACTGTATGTTTACTTGTATCATTGAGTTTTCGATGAGAGAAACTGCAAAATTTTTATGTCGATTGTTTGACATGAATCTCGAGCTTTCTTTTGCATATARATGCCGATTTTAACACGTAAATGTTTACACTGGTGTTTGCGAACACAGACATGATATGTTTGAAAATTTCGCGAACAAAGCGCGAACAGAACGCGTTCAGTGTTCGCATTTTGTTCTCGAAATGCACGCGAACAAAGGTACATGTGATTCTAGGCGGTACTGTAGTTCCAGAAATGTTTTATGTTTGAACTTTGCTTTAATTTGAAAGTAATAATTGTCCTCAAAGTTTTGTATTTTCAGAAATTATTTACAATCACTCTTCCAATTTTAATTTTGACTTGTTGATTATATCAAGAATTTTCGAAGATGCATTTTTAATGTGCTTCTTGAATGAAACTGACTTGAAGTATTTAGCATCTTTCTTTTTAGGGATGGTGTAATCATTGTCATCAGGACCGTCTCCTCCTTCATCATCATTGTCATCAGCACAGAGGTTTTTATCTTCTGCAACAGGTTTTAATAACTGGGTATTCCAGGATTTGGATAGCTTCTCAACATCTTTGATGATATTACCAAGACATACTTTGCATTGGTTGTTTTGAAGGCACTGGATGTGGTAGGTGTGACCACATGTGAGCCTCTTGATTTTTCCATCGAAACCTCTACAGTCTTTAAAATCACAATCTAAATCACCATTTGGTTGGGTTGCAGGCCATCGATAGCCCAAAGGAAGGTATTTTCTTGAGAATACAGAACCAAATGATGCCAATTTGAATGAAGACTTGCCATATGGTTTACCAGCCTTGTTGATAGGTCTGGGTAGCTACGTTGAGCCTCCAAGATTTGTAGCCACTCACTCAAACATGTTCAATAAACTCTCAGCTGCTAATCCTGAAATTATATAAAGATATATTGGTGTAATAATGTTGAATTTCATTTCGAAAAAGGAACTGAACTTTACCAGTGAGGAAAAGTAAATCCTGGTCGCTTATCCCTCGTTTGTAACCATTGACATAATCTTGTTCGAAATGATTAGGTTGACAATTTGACCTGGCTAAAAGTTTGGCTGTTTCTTGGATTTTTGGTGCCTTGTCAGTTTTAGATATCCTGCTTCTCAGACGTGAATGGAATATTTCCACTTTCTTCTCACTGATAACAGAGCACAGGTGTTGTTTTGCGGTGTAGTAGTCTGGAAAGTAGTTACGCTGGTAATGACTGTCACTGATCCATGACAGACTTGCTTTGTTGTAGTGGTGCCGCTCCATTGTAATGAACATGACTGCCAGTCTCTTCATAGAAACATGAACGTTGTTGAAATCATTTCCTTTCACAAACACTGGGTAATGTAGGAATGTCAATGGTACCAGCTCGTCAAATAGATGGAATAGGCAGGCATATTCAACATCCTTGCACTCTCCAAAGGCATTAAGAATGGCATCTCTAATCTGCAACCATCCAGCAAAGGCAAGTGTGATGCACAGTGATACCTTCTCTGGTTTTGGCTTGAGAGGAAGGATCTTTTTTTCACCAAAGACAGACTTGTACAACTCTTCAAATACTGGGTGGTATCCTTTAATTACATCTTCAGTAGAATTGAGGTAAACATGGAATGGTCCAAGCTCAGGAATCATGTTTATGTTCTCCTCTGAGAGACAAATATCTTTCTTATGAAAGTACCATGTCGGCCAATCACCAGCTACAGGGAGGATGTAGGTTGATGCAAAGTGCTTGAGCTCTGGGGAAACATCAAACATGTGACTGTGGGTGTCTTTATAGTTTTGGAGGCTATGCAGATCTTTTTCTATTTCATCAATCAGTACTGTTGATTCTAGGGTTTGGGATTCTAGTGCATCCTCTCTTGCATAAACTCTAGAGTATAAGATAAAATGAAGTGAGCTTTGAATAATTGCTTTATCTTTTGAGAGAGCTATTTGCAATTGCTTGAATTACATAGATTGTAATAATTTTTATGTATTTGAAATTAGTTTCAATCATATTTATCTCTTTATTGTGGTATTACAAACTCTCACACTTATCTTGAACTGTTTGCGAAAAGGGCTTATAGGCATTTTGCATGCCTATATTCCTGCTTTTTTTTCAAAATAAATATTTATATAATNCTCCTTCTTGCTCACAATGCCGTCTTTTTGAGCGGATTTCATCTCAGCATCCAAAATCTTCCGCAAATCAGCGTAACTGAAAAAATAAACTTTGATAAGCCAAGATAATAATAATATTAAAAAAGAAGTATAAATTTCTAACCAATATTTCGATATTAACATGAGCATTCACTTACTCGGGTTTTTGCTTGTCAAGCATGTTAACGTCATTTCTGTTGTGCTCTTCTAAGAATCTCTTAAGGCCCGCCACAATTTGGTACAAAGTAGCACCCGGAAATCTTTTCCCATCTTTAGACGTGACTTCTTGAATGAATTTCCCGACCCAGAAATTCAATGACTTGGGCTTCATGAGAATAAAGTCTTGGTCAAGATTCTCCAATTCTTCTAATTTTGAGTTAACACTTGATGCCTCCAGGATAGCAGTTTTGTTCGCCCTTTCGCTTTTCCAATCCTCAAAAAGCTTGAAGGCCCAGGTGTTCTTGTACCTCGTTGATTTCGGTATTGCCTTTTCAAGCATTTCTTTCTCTTCTTCTGTAGTTCGAGCCTTTCGAAAGCGTTTAGCCGGCTGAAAGTCGTCTTCACTCTCCATTTCGAAAAGTATGAATGATTTCAAAATCAAATGACTTTCTAACATAATCTCGAGGGATTGAAAATGACCATGACTTTTTGTGACAAACGAGCATTTAGTAGTACTTTCAATGATATATCAACCACAACAGTATAGATTGTAAATACAAAGGAAACAATTCTATGTGAATATTCTCTATTTTCCCTTGAGTGTCGAATAATTCGTGAATCTATTGTTCTCTTGTGTTCTATGCTCTTCTTTGTTTGATGTAATGCTTTTTACTTTTACGGTTAACTGAAAATCATGCAAAGTCCTACATTGAACAATTATTGCATTGAAACCATTCATTCAGCGAAAAATGCTTGTGTTTAACAATTGCAATAATACATTTTGTTTGAAAACTGAAACCATTTTTAGTATCTAAAATTTTCTTTATTGCGAGTATGAGGTTGAAGAAACTGTCTTTTAAACCCAAAAATAGATTGAGATCCTTCCCGAATAATTAATGAGTTTTTGAAGTCGTTCAAAGGCCTCCAATTCGGACTTGACGGGATTTCAAAGTCCTTGCAATTAGTTCTAATTGCGCGGACTTTGAAATCCCGTCAAGTCCTCACTGTCGGCCTTTAAACATTACTTCAAATACTGGGTGGTATCCTTTAATTACATCTTCAGTAGAATTGAGGTAAACATGGAATGGTCCAAGCTCAGGAATCATGTTTATTTTCTCCTCTGAGAGACAAATATCTTTCTTATGAAAGTACCATGTCGGCCAGTCACCAGCTACATGGATGATGTAGGTTGATGCAAAGTGCTTGAGCTCTGGGGAAACATCAAATGTGACTGTGAGTGTCTTTATAGTTTTGGAGGCTATGCAGATCTTGTTCTATTTCATCAATCAGTACTGTTTATTCTAGGGTTTGGGATTCTAGTGCATCCTCTCTTGCATAAACTCTAGAGTATAAGATAAAATGTGTAAAAGTGAGCTTTGAATAATTGCTTTATCTTTTGAGAGAGCTATTTGCAATTGCTTGAATTACATTGTAATAATTTTTATGTATTTTAAATTAGTTTCAATCATATTTATCTCTTTTTTGTGGTATTTGTTATATTCCTCGAACCACTAAGGCAAGACTAAAGACTTAAAACAAGACAAGACAAACTAGACAACGCTTCGCTTTCACACACAACGTGGTTCTCTTTTTCAATACTTAATCACGTGACCTATTTACATATTCCACAGGGAATCCAATACACTACATTCCCTCCTGTTTTTGAAACTAAGTTACAATACACTGTTAAATGATAAACTTACAGTTACAATCATAGGGTTAAGTTGTACACGTTGTTTGATTATGAAGAGTCTAATGATGTTGACTAGAGTCCACTGTTCACATAAACATAATACTTGGATGTTGCCATCACTAACTAGAACTGTTCAAATAAATGTTCAACTAAATAAAGTGTCCACTAGTACAATAAATAAAGTGTTCACTTATCCATTACAAAGTCTCCGTATCTATCAGGTTGTTTGGATACTCTGCTGGATCTTTGCAGTCCTGTATCTTCATCTCGTCCATTGTCGCTTGGTGGAACAACTGGTTCTGGACTTTCAAGAACTGGTTGTGGACTCTCCTTTCTCCCCTCTGTTGACATCTGTGCCAGCTTCCTTCCTGACAGTGAGTCATGGTCAGGCGCCAGGTCCTGGCCTGGTGGATTGAACTTCTTTAGGTGTTGTATGTTCCTTCTGTGTGTTACCCCTT